TTACTGAAGATTCATTCTAACCCGGATCTTCACGGGTCTGTTATTAATAAAACTAAAGTTACTGTGTTTTGAAAAAAGTAGAAAAATGAAGAATCTCCACATTTTGATTGAAACTTTCTTCATGTAGTATTGTGTGAAGCAGAAGTTTGGGGTTCCACCTCACACTTAATATTGAACAAGTCTCTGATACATTTGGTAAAAATGTAATGCACCTTGGAAGGTATGTGCAGAGTAATACGGCTAGAGGTGAAAGTCGTAGATTGAAAGTAAAGTGAAAATTATATCGCACTATCAAATTGAAAATTAATATCACTTTATAATTGAATGTCCAGTTAATGATAATATAAGATTAGTAATTGGATCTAAATATTCAGTCAACAGCTGAAAAGTCTTTATTATTCATGTCACAAAATCCGTCTATTTTAAACTCCTAGTGCCATGTTTTGTTTTGTTTTTTTATTACTTGTATTACGAGCCGGTTGAATCTCAATAACATATTTATGATAAATATTGCTAAAGTTCCTAATTCATAATCACGTATGTATGTCTTGACATCTATTTACGAGCACCTACAAACGGAAATGTATTTTACAGATTTCAACTAAAAACATATTGTAGTGCTTTCTCGGACCAAGTTACAATTACAAGTAATACATACTGACAGAAGAAGACATTATAAAAAGATAGTATATATCGCCACGGATTATATTACAGATGAACAATCGGTTGAAAGGTGGAAGCAATATCGCATTTTATAAACGAACTTTTCACTTCCACTGAATACTTAAAAATAGACAATTCAGGATTCTGAAAAATGATTTTATCCGTTAGTAGCCACTTTATAATGGGCGATATCCTCATTAACGTCTTAAGTGTATGTTATCTTTGTCTTTTCACAGAGTGTTTAACATTTAAACTACAAATATCAGCAATCAAGCTTGATCACAAAAAAGGTATACACTACAGTTAAACCCTATAGGGTTGAAGTCGTCAGTTAAGTCAATTGCCTTTTTGCATGATAATGTTGATCACTTGAGTAAACAAAGATTCACTGTTCGCGAAGAACCTGATGTAATCAGATGTTCAGTATCCTATTCATCCATCACTAGATACTCAGTTGCTGCTACCTGTCTTAACAAAGATCTAGATAGAATTTCACAATGGGCCCGTAAGTGGCAGGTTACATTTCATCCAAATAAAACCGAAACTACTCAGTTCTCACGTAAAACGAAACCGTCTCTAAAACCGAACCTATTCATGAACGGAACAATCATAAAAGAAGTCAAAAGTCATAAACATTTAGGATTAACACTCCAAAGCGATTGTACGTGGAATGATCACACTAATGATATTGTACGTAAAGTTCTCCCTATGATCAGTTGTCTGAGGAGTTTTAAATACCGATTATCACGTAAAACGTTGGATATTATGTATAAATCGTATATCTTGCCAATATTTGACTATTGTTCGCATATTTGGGATAACTGTACTTCTGAGCAATCGCGTACATTAGAAAATTTACATCTAGATGCTCTGAGAACTATATGTGGTGCCGTCCGTGGCACAAGTCATAACAAATCTCAGTCCATGCAAGATAGAAGGAATTGCCAGAAGTTAACTTTTTTCTATAAGATGTACAACAACCAATTGCCAAAATATCTTTGTGACCTGATTCCAAACTCCGTCTCCGGAACTACAAACTACAGCTTGAGGAATAACTCTGAAATACAAGGAATTTACAGTCGCACTGCCTCTTATGCTAAATCCTTTTTACCTGCCACAATAAATTTATGGAATGCCCTGCCAAATTCCAAAGCGTCATGTAATCTCACAGAATTTAAAAACCTAATTACAAAAACTGAAAATAAGATTTACTTTGACCTTAATTATGGCCCTCGTTTTTGCCAAATCGTTCACTGCCGCCTCAGGCTCGGATGTAGCAACCTAAACGCCGATAAGTATAACAGACATTTAATAGACAGCCCTTGTTGTTCTTGTGGACATCATAGTGAAAACGCCCTACACAATTTCCTCACTTGCCGTAACTATACTCGGATAAGACTTAATATGTATTTTTACACTACCGGTTATAACCTGGATACCATTCTTAAGGGAAACAAAGAACTTACTCCCTGTGTAAACCAGAACATAGTTGAATCCGTCCACGATTATATAACCAAGACACAACGCTTTAAATTTTCTCAGGAAAATAATTAAATTTACTCAACAACCTTCTCATGATTGATTTATATTTCTACAATGGCTTGTGAGACACACACAACTGTAACTCTCTAACTTATGACTAATCACTAGATACTCGGTGCTGAGTATTCTCAGCATCTGGCATTATTCATGAATCTGACATAATTTCTGATATTTGTCCAGATGAAAAACGAAACCAATATTACACGTTGTGTATCATACAATCGCTACTTTTAGCGATGCAATAGATCGCCCCGAACAATGTGCATGCGATGTTTCTTTACTATTGTATTATCAGCATTGCATGTCCCTTGTTCATATAGTTTAGCATATGCCAACAAATATTTTCAATCATTGTATTGCAGTAATGATATATCAGGCACGTGTACACATAATGCATTTGCGTGCTTGCGGCCGTGCGTGCATGCGTGTGTGCGTGGTTTCAGCAGTGGGGTTAGGAATTTCAATGATTGCCATCAATATAGTAGTCGATAGGTCAGAGACACAGTTGAACCATGCCGGATTATCAGTTTGAAGTCACACTTGCGCAGTCTGCAAAGATCTTTGCACCATGCACCAAGGACAGAAGTCTGTGAAGATCTTTGCACCGTGCACCAAGGACATAGGTCTGTGAAAAAATTTCCACCGTGCACAAAAGACAGAAGTCGAAGATATTTGCACCGTGCACCAAGTACAGCAGTCTAGGAAGATCTTTCCACCGTGCACCAAGGACATAGGTCTGTGAAGATCTTTGCACCATTTACCAAGGACAGAAGTCTGTCATGACCTTTGCACTCTGCACCAAGGACATCAGACTGTGAAGATCTTTGCGCCGTGCACCAAGGACAGCTATCTTTGAAGATGTTTGCACCATTCACCAAGGATATCATTCTGTGAAGACATGTGCACCCAGTCTAAGCCTATTTTGTAAAACTGGTCCACTATTCCTGCTAGGCTAATATTATCCTCACTGTCTTTATTGAAAGAATCACTGCTTCTATTTTACATGGCACTGTCACTCTGGTTTGTATTTGCCATTGTAAATCCTTTGGTGTGATTTTGGAAACTTGGTGAATGTTTAATACAACTGTCAACTGTGTAACATTTTGGTTGTTGTGCTTTCAAAATTCATTTATGTACACATTTCAGCTTAACTTATTGTTTCTTCCTGCAAATCGAAAGTAACAATGCAAGCCGGCTGTGCCAGTGGTTAAAACAATACAGTGAAGAGATGTCACTTTATCTCCTATCATCTACTGTCGTGGTAGTTCACTTTTTACTTAGCTTAGTGATAAGTTCTTAAATATATCGCTTTATCTCCTAACATCTATTCACGTGGTCGTTCACTTTTTACTTAGCTTAAAGATAAGTTCTTAACTGCTTTTGTTATCAGCAAGTAAAGAGTTTTTTTCTCAGAAATCTTTGCTTGATTTTACAGATAAAACTGTTAAACGCCTCCGCACATTATTGACTTTAGACACGAAGGCAAATGCTGATAATGTCAACATTTCACTCTAGGATTAAAGAACATTTACAGAGTTTGTTCATGAACTTGATCGCACAAACACGAAGAATAAGACCCGGGGTTCGGTTCATTGTGACACATTTGCAAAAGTGTCAACAACTGACTGTAGAGATTAGATGTGTAGATCATCGAATCTTCTTAAGCTTCACTCAGAATAAGGACCATATTGCTACAACTAACGTGTGAGTCTTCAGTAAATGAGCGACTGAGTATGGTTTTACGCCGCTTTTAGCAATATTCCAGCAATATCAGGGCGTGAGGCACCAGACATGGGCTTCGCTCATTTTACCAAAGTTGGGTTTCTTCGGCGTGACGAGCGGACGCTTTAACCACCAGGCTACCTCACCGCCTCAATTTGTGAATGAAGATTGATATGAAACCTCTATGGAGAGAGAACCGATGCATTACTTTAGGAACAGTTTTGACAGTTGATACTTGGAACTGACCGTTCACTAACACTATATGTAAATCAATTCTTATTCAGTCATGCTTGACCATAAATGCATTAATGCGGTATTATATCTTTTCAAAATTCACTAAAAATGACGAATTATGACTTCCCCTGACAACAGACACTTTAAGAACAGACACGTATGTATCGTACATAAGAAGGAATTATGTAGCGTGGAGTGATATCTAGATCACATGTCATGTTTCCATCTGATTTCCATGTACGATTTAAATGTACAATATAAGCTCTAACGGCAGGGTGACAAAAGTAATCCGACAAATCCGGTGAAACAATTAGATGGAACATCTGGTTTATTACATATTGATAGAATCGTTCGGAGTAAGTAGAGGAGATAGAACATTCATATAGCGAAGTAGTATGGTGGTATAAGGCAATTTGTATCATATGACAAATCATTGCTTGCTTAAAGACTCGTGATCTTGATCCGATCGATGCGTGTGTGCCTGCCTGTGCGCGCCAGTGCGTGCGTGCGAGTGTGTTTGTGTGCGTATGTCTCCGTGTCTGTGTGTCTCTGTGTGTAAGTCTCTGTGTTTGTGTGCGTAAGTCTCTGTGTCTGTGTGTAAGTCTCTGTGTTTGTGTAAGGCTCTGTGCTTGTGTGTGTAAGTCTCTGTGTTTGTGTGTCTCTGTAAGTAGTCTCTGTGTTTGTGTCTGTGTTTGTAAGTCTCTGTGTTTGTGTATGTGTGTGTGTAAGTCTCTGTGTGTGTAAGTCTCTGTGTATGTGTGTAAGTCTCTGTGTATGTAAGTCTCTGTGTTTGTGTGTGCAAGTCTCTGTGTTTGTGTGTGTAAGTCTCTGTGTTTGTGTGTCTGTGTGTGGGTAAATCTGTGTTTGTGTCTTTGTGTCTGTGTGTAAGTCTCTGTGTTTATTTGTCTGTTTGTCTGTGTGTGTAAGTCTCTGCGTTTGTGTGTGTAAGTCTCTGTGTTTGTGTGTGTAAGTCTCTGTGTTTGTGTCTGTGTGTGTAAGTCTCTGTGTATGTGTGTAAGTCTCTGTGTTTATTTGTCTGTGTGTTTGTGTGTGTAAAGCTCTGTGTTTGTGTGTGTAAGCCTCTGTGTCTGTGTGTGTAAGTCTCTGTGTTTTTGTGTGTAAGTATCTGTGTTTACGTGTGTAAGTCTCTGTGTTTGTGTGTGTGTGTTTGTAAGTCTCTGTGTTTGTGTGTGTATCTAAGTCTGTGTGTGTACGTCTCAGTGTTTGTGTGTGTAATTCTGTGTGTGTGTGTTTAAGTCTCTGTGTGCGTAAGTCGCTGTGTTTGTATGTGTGTGTATGTCTCTGTATTTGTGCGTGTGTGTCTGTATGCGTTTGTGTGTATGTGCCAGACGTCGTCTCAACGTAGGATTATGAGTAAGAAGACCAATCTGACGTCCAGTGCCCTTGCTAATTTGATTCGTGTAAGGGGAGACTACTCCTTACATACACAGAAATTTGTGATACTGTCCCAATGACATGTGTATAAATTTACTGTGAGTGATTATGGTCTTACGAAGCTTGAAGCAATATCACGGCGGGTAAAAACCATTACACATTGCATCCACGTGGAGAATGGAACCCAGAGGTTACTCAGACACTTCTACATAGTTCTCATCACTGACAGCTATGTTACTCCACACATTAATTTCTAACTGGAATTTGTTTTTGGGTAGTTGAACCTGTGTCATACTGGTGAATATAACTAATTCAGAATACCACAAGCCAATATATTTCCTTTCAAAGTGCGAATGCATGATTTGTATTTCCGGCTATTAGTTCATGAGCCAGACGTCTGATTTGTATGTCTGCGAGAGCTTGTTTACATATATATGTTTATGTTGTCATGACTGTAATTTGTAGACACGAATCAAAATGCACGTTGATGTTATTTTTTTATCACTTTGAAATACTTAGGACACAATGAGTTCGCGAGATCGCGATGTACTATGGTAACTGTGCTCATGTGAAATAAGATGATATGGGCATAACAGATGAAGACGAGGTACTTATATACATGTAGTTGTGCAGGTGCGTGGGTACATGTGTGTGTGTGTGTGTGTGTGTGTGTGCGTGCGTGCGTGCGTGCGTGCGTGTGTGTGTGTGTGTGTGTGTGTGTGCGTGTGTGTATGCCAGCTTCACAGTGATAGTCCACTGAGACGTCTCAGGTTAACAAGGAGAAGCTCAGACACATGCCAATGAGCCAGAAATGCCAATCTCGAGCACAAAGCAGGTAATAACAAGTAGCATCTTAAACGTCATTGGCACTAAGCAGCCAAGGAAGCACATATAGTCCGCTTTTGAGTCGCTATCAACTACACCATTGAGGCGGTACTTGGTTGAGTGACTACTGAAAGTTCTTATCTTGATTCCGATGTTCTCTTTGAACGATTTTCTAATGGACGCTTTTAGACATGATTACTTGAAAAGTTCAACCATGTGTGACCCCAAACGTCGTATCAAGACAAATGTCAAAAGACAATTATTTCTTCTTCCCTGAAAGTAGAACTTCTAAATGCCCCCCAAAAATGTAGCTTTTTCCTTTGATCGACAATGATCAAATTAGTTATCCAATATGTTTGAACAAGGTCTCCATACATTTTGTCAGGTGTTCTCGCAGGGTGAATACCGAATGTATGAGTTTACTGAGCATAGAAGGTCAGGATTTCTTCATAGATGCCATATAGCATGTGAAATCTGGGATTAATAAAAGAAGACAGGAAACAGGCGCGCCTGTGTGAATAACTGAAGCTCCCTGCCTAGCTGATCGGTCCTTTTGTTTTGTTTTGGGGTTTTGTTGTTGTTGTTATGTTTTTTTTCAATTATTGTTTTGTTTTGGGTTCTTTGTTGTTTTGTTTTGTTTGTTTTTTTCGTGTTTTTTTCTTCTTCTTTTTGTGTTGTTTTTGGAGTTTTTGGGGTGTATTTTCAATTATGTTTTTGTTTTGTTGGGTGCACATGAATCAGGAAGTCTGTATTTGAAGTTTCACATATAACGATAATCAGATATCATTCAATAAGAACCACTGATTTGCATAGTATGGCTAGATGTAAAACAGACCAATGGGGCCTCATTATCTGTTTCATTTTTAGATCTCTGCATCAAGTTTCAGATGAACAAAAACAAAGACTGAAGGCAAGAGGGATGGGCATACACGTGCACGGGGTTAGTTGATTGCTGTTTAACAACAGAGCTCCCAAAATTCAAAGTTTATTCAGCATAAAGGCCATAGGCCCAAGTACAAAACTCGACAAAATAATAATGACAGTGACACCTTTCAAACACTTCTTAACCTTAAAACTTCTTTTACAAATTTTGCTTAGTTAATTAGGATATTGACTTTATCACAACTTAATAATGCATTAAAGTTATGAATAGAAGGATGTTTCCAGAAATATTCAGGAATATCTTTATGTCTTAACGTGGAATAAACATTACGTATCTTTTCTTATTTGTAGCCGAAATTCTGGGCTGTATGATTAGGCAAAACAAAGACATTAAAGGTATTGCTTTGAATGGGCAAGAATATGTGTTAGGACAGTACGCAGATGATACCCAACTTTTCTTGACGGATCTGAATCAAGCCTAAAAACTGCTACTGAAACGTTACACTCCTTTTATGAAATGTCTGGCCTCAAAATGAAAATTGAAAAAACAAAAGTTATCTGGATAGGCTCTATGGCTGGTAAAAATATTAAGTTTTGCGAAAATTTAGATTTGGATTGGCACACAGACAACTTTGAAGTTCTTGGCATCATCCTTAATGCCAATTTACAAGACCTTTGGGTCATAAATACAAGAAAGAGAATCGAAACCATAATTTTTTTTTCTTGCATCATGGAAGCATAGATCACTGACTTTGATTGGCAAAATTACAGTTATTAAATCCTTAGCGTTATCTACCTTAGTTCATATTTTTAGCCCTGCCTACTCCCCTGAAGCTTTTGTTAAAGAATTAAATCAAATATTTTTATTTTTTATGGAATGGGAAAAGGGACAAAATGAAAAAGGAATAATATGATCAGGAAATATGATGAAGGCGGTCTAAGAATGATTGATATCAATTCTTTTATTCTAGCCTTGAAACTTTCTCATTTAAGAAAATGCTGCCAAAATCCCAACTTTATGAACCCACGCCAAGTTTGTCTGAAATTTTCTCATTGGGAGCAAATATTAATATCCGAAATAACTGTAAAAATCCTTATTGGAGAAGTGTTCTGGATGCATGGTCAAACTATCTCAGAATCGAGAAAGAATATCCTGATAATATCAATTACATCTTATCTCACCCCTTTGGTTGAATCATCAGTTTAAAGATAAATCCTTCTTTATACAAAACTGGTACCACAAAGGGCTGCATTGTGTTAGGGATGTTTGTAACACAAGAGGCCTAATGACTTTCAATGAACTGAAAAACGTATATGATATCCGGATTATCACAGACTGCTATGTAGCATCCCTCCTAAGTGGAAACAGTGCATCAACCAGCAAATGTGTATTATAAAATCTAACCTGACAATTGGAAACAGTTTACTCGATTTGCATAAGCCTGGAAAGGGCTCCAGATATTTTTATGATAATATCATCACCTGTAATACGTGCCCCACAGTATGTAAAAATGGGAGGAAAACTTTAATCTTGACTCTCCAAACTGGAAAAATATATTTCTCCAGTATAGGGGTTGTACAAAAGATGTAAAACTTTTAGAATTTCAATTTCAATTTCTTCACCGCATAGTTTACACTAAGAGGGAACTAAAGGTTATGAACCTAGTAAACGATGATATCTGCACTTTTTGTAAAACTGACCGGGAAGACTTAGCTCATGTTTTCCTTCAATGTGAATATGTAAAACATTTTTGGGTGACTCTGGAACTATTTCTGAATACCCACATTAATATGGGTATAACTCTGGATACCAATGCAATCCTTTTGGCTATCCAGACCAATATAAATTGCTGAATCACCTAATCCTACTGAGCAAAAGGCATATTTTTCTATGCAGTCTAAAGGGCAACACCCTATCAGTGGATAAGGTTATAAATAACATCAGACAAGTTTATGCCATTGAAAGGTCATTGCTTGTAAGAACAACAAATATAATGCCTTTGAAAAAAATGGTCTCCACTCACAAATAGTTTTAAACTTTAAGTAGATGTATTACATATAGATGTTATTTAGTATTGGCTTTCAGCCACAGTTACTACTCGATGTAAACAATGTACAATCACTGAACTTTGTTGCTCAAACACACCTGTACAATTTTAATCAGATAAATTATGTATGATTGTTGTATATTACTGTGACTACAGCTACTGACTGTCTTCTCTCTGAGAATTTTGTACCACTTCTGAGTCTTAGGATCCATAACACGCAGACTTTTAGTCAGATAAACTACATCTGATGGCGTTTACTATTGGCTTACAGTTATATACTTACCTCCATGTGCAAACACTATGCCTTTTGCAACTTTTCAGGTCAATATGTATACACATCTACATTCAGATAAATCACATCTGAATGTTTTAAAAGTGTACATATCTACATCCATAACACTAAACGATTTAAATAACTCTGTCTGTACATATCTATACCCTTTGTGTCTGCCTCTTGTTGAACTTTTGTAATATACACTTGTAACTATGTGGAGAGGGCTTATTTAAGTTGGATAACTTGTGCCCAATCCGTTTCTTAATTGAATAAAATACGTTTCAATCAATCAACACCTGATATGGTAGCCTATTAGCTCATAGTCATAGGTCGACTCTTCTTGCAGACTTTTCTGCCACTGTTCAATTATTGTATTTTCAAACATACTTGTATATCTCTAAGCTGACAAATTACATCTGATCGTGTACACTATTGGCCTTTTGGTTTGCTATTAGCCTATACCCATATGTGCCTTTCTTGAACTTTGCATCTCAAACAGTCAGATTGTCTGTCTATATCTGATTTTATGTATCACTGGCTTACAACCTTGAAGTTTACATTCTCTGTCAAACATTGTGCTAAAGTACTGTCGGAAATGCTGGAAAAATGCTTTTTGACTTATATTTAAAATTCAGAGGTATTACAGTTACGTAAATAACAAATATCACTTCAAGAAACATCTACCTCATGTAGACCGAGGGAATAAATTTTGAGACATGCTCTAAAAATGTGTTTTTACTGATGAAAATACCAAAACCTTAGAAAAATAATGGGTAGTGGGACGTTATTTGATACAAACATTAACTGCCTGTGTTACGTCATCAGCATCCAGTTTTGTAAGAAACCCTTTCTAAACTAATGAAATGTTTACATCTGTCTATTTTTAAGCAGAAAAACCTATAAACCTTTGCAACAATCGACTGCAAATCGTTGGCCATAGTGGACGCTGTGATAAAGATGTGCATGCATGACGGCGGGGAATTTTATCTATCAAGACTTTACATTTATATTAATATTTCTTCAATAAAGAAACGATAATTAAGTAAAGACGGGAAACACAAACATTCAATTTATTTGTTTAGGAAAAACGTTAATTCATTTGTTTACACACCACCTGTATTATTAGCATAAATTTAAAGACTATTTCAGATTTCTGTTGTTGAACTCTTAAGTTGCTGTTTTGGTACCAAATTCTCCCCTGTAAACTGCCCTTTAAATGCATGGGAATGTTAAATCGGTTGAAATAAAAATTAGGTAGACTATAGACGAGTTGGTATATTGACAACATGGTACATTTATCACCTTTATAAAGATATTAAGGCTAAAAAGCATTTTTCTAGCATTCCCGACAGTACTTTAGTCTTGAACCGGATTGTACCAGCCGGAGATAGAGTATATCTGGTTTTATACAGCAGTTTTATATAATACTGTATATCTGTACAGCCATAGAATTACTTCATTACACTTTTCAATGTCCATCTCCTTGAACTGTGTTATGAAGCTTGTACATTGATGCCTGTTCGTACCCATGTGTCTGTACCCATTATGCTGGAATAAAAACAACAACAAAAAACAACAAAACAAAACCATTACATATTAACAGAAACTGGTATTCTTCTTCTGCACATCCATTTACACATAAATAACAAAATCTTTCATTGCAAACAATACGTCTACCAACATCTATCGTTAAAGGCCATTCCCCAGATCTTAACAAAACTAAAAGCCTTCTATATTCACGACCCTTAAACGTGGATAATTAAAGCTCCCAAATGGTGTGTAATGGAGGGCGTTTCCAGTATTGTCACAATGGGGACAGTACTGACGGTTCCCGTTTTTTGCAATGTTTGTTAACGAAGTTGTTTTCTGTTCGGACGTGTGGTTGACATGCCTTTGCAAGTGTTTAGAAAACCTGGTATCATCACTATATGCTAGTGAAAACACATTGACTCTGGTGTAGAAGAATGTAATGTGAGGGTTTTGTCGTGTTTATTGATGATTATTAAAAGGCTTGATTCGCTTGTGTCATCCGTCAAAAGACTGAACATATGTATATATTTGCTTACCATTTCAGGCAATACTTGAGGATGTTCTGACACCGTCTGCGGGAAGGCAGAAATGTGTGTGGTGGAAAGGAACAGCCGACCGCAGTGTATAGGTTAATTTCTCCATCAAATACTTGTTAATTTGTTTCAAAACGTAATGTACTCTTTGAGTTTAATATAAAATGAATTGCTTTCACCTCTGATAACTGTTCATGACATAAAATGTTGCCTCAGTGTAGAAATTATCAGTATGTCCACTGATCTGCAGGAGAAGTGAGCTTTGTCACTTCTGTGGTGTCTAGTGACACGATATTTAATGTTGAAAGAAAACTAAGTTCTGTGGACAGTCAACTTCTTTATTGCAATGAGTGCGACATTTCGGTGTAGGTACTAACACCGTTATCAAGCGGTTAGTACCTACACCAAAACGTCGCACTCATTGCAATAAAGAAGTTGAGTGTCCATAGAACTTAGTTTTCTTTCATCTTCACAACTTCTAAAATGCCTCTCAAAGACCTTATTTAATGTTGTCTTGTAGAGTAGAAGTGATCTGTGAAACCTTTATGTTGTCTGGTGACATTTTGTACAATGATGTCTTGTGGAGTAATCATGAGCCGTGTCACCTCTGTGGTGTCTAGTGACACGTTATTCATTGTAATCAAGTAGAAATGAGTTGTGTCACCGTTATGTTGTCCAGTGACACGTTATACAATGTTGTCTTGTAGAGTGGAAGTCAACAGTGCCACCTTTATGTTGTCTAGTGACACGTTATACAATGTTGTCTTGTAGAGTGGAAGTCAACAGTGCCACCTTTATGTTGTCTTGTGACATGTTATACAATGTTGTCTTGTAGAGTGGAAGTCAACAGTGCCACCTTTGTGTTGTCTTGTGACACGTTATACAATGTTGTCTTGTAGAGTGGAAGTCAACAGTGCCACCTTTGTGTTGTCTTGTGACATGTTATACAATGTTGTCTTGTAGAGTGGAAGTCAACAGTGCCACCTTTATGTTGTCTTGTGACATGTTATACAATGTTGTCTTGTAGAGTGGAAGTCAACAGTGCCACCTTTATGTTGTCTTGTGACACGTAATCAACAATGTTGTCTTGTAGAGCGGAAGTCATCAGTGCCACCTTTGTGTTGTCTTGTGACACATTATACACTGTTGTCTTGTACAGTTGAAGTCAGCAGTGCCACCTTTATGTTGTCTTGTGACACGTTATCCAATGTTGTCTTGTAGAGTAGAAGTCATCAGTGCCACCTTTGTGTTGTCTTGTGACATGTTATACAATGTTGTCTTGTAGAGTGAAAGTCAACAGTGCCACCTTTGTGTTGTCTAGTGACACGTTATACAATGTTGTCTTGTAGAGTGGAAGTCAACAGTGCCACCTTTGTGTTGTCTAGTTACACGTTATACAATGTTGTCTTGTAGAGTGGAAGTCAACAGTGCCACCTTTGTGTTGTCTTGTGACATGTTATACAATGTTGTCTTGTAGAGTGGAAGTCAACAGTGCCACCTTTATGTTGTCTTGTGACATGTTATACAATGTCGTCTTGTAGAGAGGAAATTTCACCTTTATGTTGTCTTGTGACACGTTATACAATGTTGTCTTGTAGAGTGGAAGTCAACAGTGCCACCTTTGTGTTGTCTAGTTACACGTTATACAATGTTGTCTTGTAGAGTGGAAGTCAACAGTGCCACCTTTGTGTTGTCTTGTGACACGTTATACAATGTTGTCTTGTAGAGTGGAAGTCAACAGTGCCACCTTTGTGTTGTCTTGTGACACGTTATACAATGTTGTCTTGTAGAGTGGAAGTCATCAGTGCCACCTTTATGTTGTCTAGTGACATGTTATACAATGTTGTCTTGTAGAGTGGAAGTCATCAGTGCCACCTTTGTGTTGTCTAGTGACATGTTATACAATGTTGTCTTGTAGAGTGGAAGTCAACAGTGCCACCTTTGTGTTGTCTAGTGACATGTTATACAATGTTGTCTTGTAGAGTGGAAGTCAACAGTGCCACCTTTGTGTTGTCTTGTGACACGTTATACAATGTTGTCTTGTAGAGTGGAAATCAACAGTGCCACCTTTGTGTTGTCTAGTGACACGTTATACAATGTTGTCTTGTAGAGTGGAAGTCAACAGTGCCACCTTTGTGTTGTCTTGTGACATGTTATACAATGTTGTCTTGTAGAGTGGAAGTCAACAGTGCCACCTTTATGTTGTCTTGTGACATGTTATACAATGTCGTCTTGTAGAGAGGAAATTTCACCTTTATGTTGTCTTGTGACACGTTATACAATGTTGTCTTGTAGAGTGGAAGTCAACAGTGCCACCTTTGTGTTGTCTTGTGACACGTTATACAATGTTGTCTTGTAGAGTGGAAGTCAACAGTGCCACCTTTGTGTTGTCTAGTGACACGTTATACAATGTTGTCTTGTAGAGTGGAAGTCAACAGTGCCACCTTTATATTGTCTAGTGACACGTTATACAATGTTGTCTTGTAGAGTGGAAGTCAACAGTGCCACCTTTATGTTGTCTAGTGACACGTTATACAATGTTGTCTTGTAGAGTGGAAGTCAACAGTGCCACCTTTGTGTTGTCTAGTTACACGTTATACAATGTTGTCTTGTAGAGTGGAAGTCAGCAGTGCCACCTTTGTGTTGTCTTGTGACAAGAGTAGAAGTGCGCTGTTTCTAGTCTCTTCGGTCTAGTGACAGGTTCGGTCTGTTTGTCCTTATGTCCATTTGCAGTGTTACAACTATAATGCCTTCCCTTGCTATGTACGGAAATTTTCTCTTTCTTGATTTCATTTGAATTGCACACCGCTTCTTTGAAAATCAGTGATATAATGTTCTGAGTTATTTTCCTTCCGCGTTCATTTAAATCTGTTTCAGCAGTCATTCGAGACTAACAGAGCTGGCTAACATTATCGATAATCGCCGATATGGAATGTAATGAACGTTTATCGATAAAATATATTGTGATATCGATAATACCGTACTTTTGTGACAGAAAAAAGCTTTAATTTTCTCACACAATACACAGATTTAGGACTTTATTCATGGTCTGCTTCTAAATTATGTTCAAGACACTGTTATGTTAATAATCCATAGCAAAATATGTCACCATTTCTTCACAAGGTATATATTGCACTGTGAGTGAAATTCTGGAAACACTTGTACTTTCATGTGTTCCCTTTTTCGTTTCTATGAGCATATATTCATTTCTTGCAGACACTTTTGATATGTATCGATAATTGATCGATATTTAGTTACAATTATCGATTTCCATATATTGTAGCTTTGAATTGCGGAAGACCCCTATCCATTGACTACGCCGACGTGATGTACACAAGTACCAGCGTCGGTGCCACCGCCACATACATCTGCAACGATGGCTACCTCGGCTGCGGTGCCTCGAATGGCAACGTCACAAGTCGTTGTTTAGAATCAGGGAAGTGGTCGAAAGTCAGCGGGCACTGTGGTTTAAAGCTTTTCGTCATGACAATGTTTTTGGTGAGCAATATTTTGTAAGATATTTGAAAAGGCATATGAAATGTCTTAAGACACTCTCAATCTTATAAAAATAAGTTCTTGCTTGAGCGAAGTAGAAACAACCCATAGCGTCACGTCATAAGACTTATCAGAGTGGTGGAGTAGCCAAATGGTTATAGCGTCCACTCCTCACGCTGAAGACCCAGGTTCGATTCCCTAATATGGGTACAATGTGTGATGTCCATTCTGGTGTACCTGGCCGTGATGGAATATTGCTAAAAGTGGCGTAGAAGTATACTCACTCACTCACTCAGAGAGTTGCTTTCCGGATTGGGAATGTGGCAGTCCATATGAGAATGTCTGTTCTAAGTTCAACACGGGGAATTCCAAACGGCACTTACAACTGTATGACGGAATCTGTCAAAATCAACAGAATTTCAATTTCCCACGGAAGCGTTATTGTCATCTGAAATTTATTAGACATTCCAGAATATCCATTTTTTCAGTTTGCACATTTTTTAGTCTCAAAATGTTTTCCAAAGCTTAATCTGGAATGGAACTCACGAACACTGCTTCTCTGATTGTCTGGCTCATTTTTCGGTCAACGGTCTACCTGTTGTGGATTGTGTTTAGAACTTTGAGTACCCGTTGAGTGAGTGAGAGAGTTTAGTTTTACGCCGCAGTGAGCAACATTGCTGCTATATGGCGGCGGTCTGGAAATAATCGAGTCTGGCAGACAAGTCAGTGATCAACAGCATGAACATCGATCTACGCTATTGGGATACGATGACATTTGTCAATCAAGTCAGCGAGCCTGACCACCCGTTCCCGTTAGTCGCCTCTTACGACAAA